CTCAAAATGAGCTAGCTTCCGGCCTGACTACAACATTTATTTCCGCTGAAACTAAAGGCACAGCTTCCGGTTCTATTATAACACTTCATTGGGAAGGAACTGAAGGCAAAGCTTCTGGACTGATTTTAACATTTCCTTCGGATAAATCTAAGCACATAGCAACTGGTTCCATTAAAACATTTCTTTCGCATAAAACTGCAGACATAGGTTCTGCTTTGATTATAACATTTGCTTGCGTTGGAGCAAAGGCTGTTGCTGTAACACTACGACGAAATTTTTTGCACTCATCCGCGCATTTGGTAGAAATAGAAGTTTTCACATCCTTGGCCTTCATATTTTTCGTAAGCATCATAAACTCGACTAAGTCATTCACGATTAGCTGATTCAATTGTCCTTTTTCGGGTTTGTTCATGTCCAAAAATGCCGGGGATGGCTTGCCGGTTAATGTGTGCGTAGCGAGTGTATTGTGGTGGAATATACGACTTAACAGTTTGCGTGTTATTGCCGCACCTGTGTTGCGCCAATTTAGTTCCATTAAAATTTTTTTTAGCACTTTGGTGCCATTTGCACCGATTTCTACAAATTCAGTTCCATCTTCCACTATGGTATGCTTGTCGAGGTGCTTTCTAATCACATCCATATTAACTGATGCGAATTCTTTCACCCTCATTTTCTTTCGTTGTTGTTCATCGACATTATCGCTGCTCTGATTGAATGAAGTTGGACTGTTTTCCGCTGCTAGTGCGCGTTTTCCCGAACAACTGTGTTTAGTTGTTATTGTAGTTTGTATTGCACCATCCTGCTGTGGTTGTGATGAATATAAAGTACTACTAACTGATCGGCCAAGTGTTGTCATAAGGCCCGGAGTCAGCGTTGATTTAATGACATCAGTCGGCATTTCGTTTTTTAGTGGCAACACCTTCGGCGTCGCCAGTCCCAGTAATTCACTGATTTCCCTTTCATGTCTGAATACATTGAATTTTGTCAAATCGAGTGGCTGTTCGAGATATTTATCGCAACACAAATGTGGTGCTGGCAGCTGCGCTATCAGCTTCTTACTTTCTGTTGTTAATTTTTGTAGTTCAATACGTAACTGCTGCACCTCTACCAGTTCTTCTTCAAATGAAAATGCGCTAAACAAATTATCTTCCAAACGTTCCGTTATACGTGAAAATGTATCAAATAACTCATTCACTTCAAATTGATAGCGGGTGGCTTCCTCCACTTGTGGCAAGTGCTTAACGTTGCTGCTGATTGAGCCAATCGGCAATGAGCGTGTTAGATTCTTGAGTATCGAGGGATGTTTAAATACATTATCCATTTTCTAGGTGGGTATGTAAGTATTTTTGAAAAAAACTCTATTCACTTTTTTTATAATATTCGTATTTTTGAATTCGAAAACTGCTGCTAAAACTGCAAACAGCCAAATGGTTGTTTGAGATTCTAAAGAATGTCTCTTATTAAATCACTTTTTGTTTGTCAATTCACGTTTTATGATGTGTAGATGATGTGTGCTCATCGCTACAAGAAACTAAACTGTTGATCTATAGCACGGCTGTCAGGGCTTTTAAAGCAAAAATCTGACTTCAAGTGGCTTGCACAGGTAGTCAATGATATTTGCACGTCATTCGCTGATTTATTTTTGCGCGTCCACCAACCTCATCACCCTAAGAGTAGATAACTGCTTAACTAGGCAGGTACAGAAATAAATATGTTGTCTCTGTCTTTTACCGTTTTTTGTGCGATTTAAGCATAATATGTAAAAACAGTGAGGGGTAACGTTAAAAATTGAAAATTTTCACTTGACCTTCGCGCGCTTAATATATTATATTTTATAAAATTTCAGGCACTATAAGTATGTACATATGTATCTAATAAGCTCATATTTGAAACTGTTTGTAAAAATATTAAAACAAATAGTTTCAAATCACATTTGACATACATAAACGGTGCTATTATTTATATTTAAAAAATATTTAAAAAATTAAAAACGTAGTTTTACTCAGCTCATTCTCATACCTTACACACACACTCACAAGAGACGTCAGAAGCTTTTGTGAAAGCTTCCAAAAAAAGTTTTCATAAAGCTACTAAAAATGCTGTCATAATAAATATTTCTTGTCAAGAAATAGTATAAAATTGAAAATATTAGCAAAGAATGTATCGACTAAAGCGTTTACAATAGAAAAATTGAAGAGTCCTTAAAATCAGCGAACGGAATTATGCATTGAAATTTCCTTAAAAGCTTGCTAAATTAGAGAAGCTTATAATAGACTCTTACCTCACACAAAATTATTCGTTTAACCAGTTACATTCTGTTATCCTGAACTTGCTAATTTTTTAGTTTACTGCTTTGTGTTATAATTTACAGTTATTCCATTTAGAGTATATACCAATTATGAAACTCGTTGAGACTGATTGACTATACTTTTGCTGTACTAATTGCTTAAATATGATTATGAAATGGCTTGAAAGGGTGAGCAGTTGATTGCTTTTGTAATAAAAATAAAATATTTATTTATTATCAAGGTTTTTATTGAGCCACTGAAGTATTATATCAGGTCCTTTCCCAGCTCTGGCTGTCTTTGTTTAATAAAAATACAAAAACTTACAAATTTAGTGCTCAGTTAATAATTAAAATATAGAAAAAGCAGTATGTAACTGTACATAAGTGTTATTGCATTTTTACATGCACGTATTTCTCAATCCAGATCAATTAAACACCGTATTCATGGCTATAATCGCTAACAATCGGTTATGCGACGTATATCTATTTTTAGCAACACTTTCGCACATCCACGAGTTACTTCTAATTAAGGTCGATTACCATATACAAAGAATACAATTAAGTCATAATTTTGTGCTTGTTAGTTTAGTCATTCAAAATATGCACATTCACTTAGAGGTTTCTTATTCAAATGAACTACGGTCAACACTTAAGTAGGTGTTGCCTTTTCAATTCTTTTCTCTTTCTGGTTTGTTATGCGAAATTATTCAAAAGACACATACATTTATGGTAGTTAGAAATTCCCTGCACCGGTGCCAGGCATCTTTCTTCCCTATCCTTGGCATAAATTAAGTGCTTTATCAAGCATGTGTTTGTGTGAGTATGCGCGCAAGCTGGCATAAACAGCGCTGTTATTAATGTTTAATGCGTCTGCTAACCTTTCAATTTCGTTATATTTGCTATTGTCACGAAACAATAGATCATGCAAAACACGTTGCCAGCGCAAAGGTGTGTCACTCACTTTTTTTGTTATTTTCTTTCTTGGCTTGTGTCTTTGTTCAATAGTTCAAAATAATTTTTTTAAGTGAAAAGGATTACACTCCAACAGTCTGTATTAGTAATATTTGTGGGAAGCTGCAGCATATCGTAAAGAATATAACTGTATTAAAATATACAGGTAGTTAGTACAACATTATCAAGACTCTTTGCTGCGCTTAATTCGGTAATACCTCGACTAATTTGCATAGCAAACAATAATAATTATATAGGCATATATCTAAAGCGGCATTTATCGTCATATGACGACAAATTGCATTAGTTTTGTTTCGAATTCCTTCTGCACCTAAATTATTCCACGAAGAAGACTCCTACCGACTCTTTCCAGTTCTCTAAAGAACTAAGTGACCATGAATAGTTTATCGCCGAAACAAAGGTCTTTTCGGTTACCAATTATATTGAGTTTGAAAATAGAAATTTGTCAATAAAAATTTGTATATACCATATATGTATCAAGACACTGTTCCCAAGTAGATTTTAAGTCAACGAGTTTTCAAAATTTCCACAAAGAATATCAGAACCAAATCGTTTAAACCCCTTTTATGCTACACGAACATGTGGCTTTAAGGGGTTACCTATTTTCAATATTTTTTTTTTTCATATAGAAAATTAAATATTTTATTCACACTTTTTATTATTTCGAAGATTGATAAAGATTTTCTGAAAATTTCAAAGGAAAATATTTAAAAATCAGTCATTACGACGTCATTTCCGGCAGTCCCTCGGAAAAAAGTTGCTTCCGCGTTGACAGCAGAATTTCTGACAGGATCATCAAAAGTAAAAAGATACGTGTTTGAACTAAGACCCTTAACTAGGTATTGGGATGGAGAAAAGACAAATAAAGTGAAAATTGTATTTTTGGCAGACGTTTTTACAAAAGCATGCACATTTTGGTGAAAATTTCGTGACCTTTTTTCTTTTTTAAATAGTTGTAATTGATGAAAAAAAAATCCTCCGCCGCAAGACCTTCTAAATTATATCTCATAAACCTGTGTATAATTTAAGATCGGTTGAATAGTTCGCGAGAAATCTCGACAACTGACTTTGAAAACACAGTTTCGAGATAAACGCGTTTTAAGTTTTAAGTGACTATATAGCTGAGCTCGAGCGCGCAACTTTACAAAGCTGTATCTCCAAAACTATAACTGGTATCAACTGAGACTTTAGAACAATATTCTAGAGATGTCACAGATTTAAATAAGATAATCAAATTTTTTTTTGTTTTTTGAAGCCGTGAAACCCATGTTACCACTTTAATAGTATATGTGACTAGACGTACATACTAACGTCAATAATTTAGCAATAAAAACTTCAAAAAGAAAAAAAAATTAGATGAAAACGAGGATATGTAAATATTATATTTCACCCATATAAGCTGGTAAGACAACTTATTTATATTATTGAACTGCTTCCTTAAAAAAAATCTTAATTTATGCAGGTGTTTCTTTTTAAATTTTTTGTTAAAATCAGCATCATTTCTTAGATAATTTTGTTTTCACTAGAAGTTGTGCTCTAAAACCGCTAAATACAAATTCCTTTGCAATTTAAGATTCAACATTTTTTCATACTTAGCAAAATTTCATTTTCGAAATTTTTTGAAAAAAAAAATTTATTTCAGGAATCTGGTTCATCATACATAATATTCGAAAAAATATCCCAATTTTTAGTTTTGTTTACGCACTCAGTTTTCAGTCACTTATAAATGTGCCTAAGACAGTTGATAAAAATAATTTGTTTTAAATCATTTTTGAGTATTCTTTATATAAACAAAAAATTGATAACAAACATAAATTTTCGTAAATTGAAAGTGTGCCAAATAATCAATAAAGAATTTTCGCGTAATTTTTGAGGAAAAAATAATTCTAAATTAAATTTGTGTTAAATGTTATGGTTTTAAATTCGCAATGTTATTTTGGAAGCTGATCTACAGCAATAAAAAATTACAAAAGCCGCGAAGAAGACATTTTCTATTATAAAATTTGAAAACCGTATAAACAATGAACAACATTTACAATGAGCAACAACAAAAGAAACTGACACGAGCCATAGCGATGCGTGCGCTCATGTATGCCAGTGGCGAGAAGTAAGTGCGGAACGCCGAACAATATACTTATAAGATAATTTTGAAAAATCTGTTTTAAACTTGTCATGACTCTTCTTTCTCTCTTTCGCGCGCATACTTAGCTGCTATTGTCCTGTGAAGAAACCAACCAAATTCATTGTCACACTGAAGCCGGTCATTAAAACGCCCAACGCCGATCCTTACCTCAATTTGGAAGCGGAAGCGGAAGCCAGCGGCTGCACCTGTAATATGAGGAATCCGCGTAAGACCACAACCGCTGAGCAAATTCAAGTGCGAACCAATAACGAAGCATTAAAAGGCAAAACACTATTGAGTAAGTTGCATATAAAAGTGAACAATCTTTTATTTGTCAAAATTAGTCAAATTATTACATACTAATAGCTATTTAAATTTTGAGATGTAAGAATATATGACAGCATAAAATACTTATACATAAAGAAAAGAAAAAAGTCAAACCTAATAATTAAATCCAAAATAATATATGTATATATGAACAACGATAGACATACAAACGTAAATACTCGAAAAAAAGGAAAAAGTTTTACAAAAATGTTGAAAGCTTAATATGAGTACTGTGCCTTCAAAGCTCTTCAAAACTCTGCACAGACTTTGAGATTTCATTGTAGCTAACTAAACTTAACATATTTGATATAACAGAGGCTTATTTGAAAATCGCCAGTAAAAATCTAATTAACGCCTAAAACTATACTAAAGCGCTGTAAACTTCTTAATCTATTTAGGTTCTAGAAAAAGTTACAACATCAGGCTTTTGTACACCAGGACACTTATATTGTCAATATATGCTTAACAATATATTCATAAACGTATACCCCTTAGTACACAATGCGCTAATACGTATATATCTCATAAATTTCTCCCACATTTTTTGACTTTTAACACCTTACGAAACGGTGACTCATAAAAGTATGCTATAATTTTTGTAATAAACAAAATTTAGCTAGGTAAGACAGCATTATCTGTGAGAGCAGCCGCATAAATTTGCACTTCTTAGACCACTAGTGCTAAGTGAGCTGCAATATTCGGAAGATATTTCATATACGTTACATACATCCATAAAGGTGATAGCTACTTAAATTCAGCGACAAATCAGACGTCAAGTCTGTGCATGATTTTCAAAAGCAGACATCTGTTAGTGCAATTGTTGGCAGTGGCTTGCGCTAGCTTCCTATATATGCGTATATTTTTCTGATTATGACCGCGTTTGGCTGCATGAAACTTTATTTTTATATCATATATATATGCATATCATCTATTTTTATTTTACCCATTTGCGTTTATCTTCTTCCATTTTTCTTTTTCGGTTTTCTCTGCTTTATATGTTTATTTAGTTGCTTTTTGTGCTGCCTCTTTTGATGGTCTCTTTTAAGTTTTGTCCTAGAAAGTTTCGCACTTTTTTTTTTTATGGCCTTGCAGGTTTTCCCAACCATTCGAGTTTTCGTAACCAACATAAAGTATACAAGATGGTTGCAGCACTCTGTTATCCTGTTGCTCAACTCTAAACACTTTGCCATTGTCATCAGCATTACATAACTCGTCTCTTTTCCCATTTATTCTTCGAATTGTTTTAAAATTTGCCTTTCTCCTTAGCGCGGATTCTTGAACGGATATAGCATGTTTTAGATTTACGTAAGTGTTTGAAAATTGCATTTTGCTGGCACTCACCAGCTCGTCAGCGTAATCATCGACTTTGTAACTTTTAGACGTCTTAGCTGCAGGTTCTTTTCACGCACCAATTTAAATAATTGGCAGACCTTTAACTCTATTTCCGCTATCACCAGAGCCCGGTACTCATACCATAACCGTAGCGCAATTTGCCTAAACATAGAATATGATCTTTATGTTGCATTAGTTACATTAAATTCGCAGATATATTACCAGACGCGGCAGCGCATATAATACGTGTGCTTGGTTAACATTGGAAACTGAAAAAAAAAAATAAAAACAATATTAAAGCTAGATTAAGCTTGAATAAGCTAGCTAAAATATTTGATTTCTACTTATATGCTCATATCTTAATTAAATACAGAAAGAATATTTTTCTAATAACAGCGTGTCTAAAATGGATGAAATCAGGGCAATACTTCCCCTAGATAGTTTGCCAACACATGCAGCTGCTTCCCCGGCTTTGATCCTTGCAGGTTGCGGAAGTATAAAATGTTCGGTTACATCTGAACTTAGCTCTTCCTTACTTGTTTTTCTTTTATATATATATTTTTTTTATTTTAAATCTTTACGTATACAGTGTAAGTAATTTGGAATCATTTAAATAGCACTTACCAATTTCCCACAACCGCACACGCCTTGAAAAGAGCTACCCTGCTGAAACACAGAAAAACATATATCAACACTTGAACTGTTCAGATATATTATATAAGTGATATATTTCTGAAGCCTAGTTATAAAGAATAATTTTTAGAGACAAATCTTTTTTTTTTATAATTTTTCGATTTTTGCATTTACTTAAATTTGTTGAAAGTGTTTTAAAGCCAAAACAAAATAAATTAAAATATAATGTTTGAAAATTGTTAGAAGTCTGAGTCTCCTGATTTGTTTCTGTTAGCAAAACTACTAAAAACCCCATAAAAAATCAATCAACAAACCGGGGATCTTAAAATTTACATCTGCTACAGCTTTTATAGATTAGAATTCTGATTCCGACAACTATCAGATTCCACAATAACCTTTAGTTTAATTTTATATTAATTTGGGAATATGAAGAGTTAATGATATGCCATGTTTACATAAATATCGCCAAGTTTTTAACCCTTAACATTAACTTTAGGTGTAAGTTCAAATATAACAACTGTCTTCTATTCGCCAATTCTACGCTCGCTATCTTTACGCACTGTTTGTTATTTTATCAAAAAATTTACAAGTACAAGGCAACAACAAAGTTATCGAATTTATTGATACAAGAGAATACGCGAATACCTCAGCTATCTTAAATGCTTCCAATGTTTAGTATGGTACCAACTGGTATGCATTGTTCGATTCACTACCCACCAAAGCTTGGTTAGTTAATTATATGATCAATCCGCTATAGCCAAAGCAATAAGAAAATTTGCTATCTCATTTTTATGGCCATACTTTTTGAGTCGAATTGGCAATCTAGCCAGATCCTTGTTTTTCAAGTTGGAAATATCACCACAATAGAAATTTTAACTCACCAAACAGTGCCATCTGTTGGAAAGCTTTGTCAGCCAATAAATCACTTATTGCGTTTATTATGAAATCTAAATATGAACAAAAAGCCTTAGGTAAAGTTTTGGAACATACTTTTTTTTTTAAATTATTTTTGTAATAATGCTATATAAATGACATGTCTCTAGTACGATTGTAATAATTCATATACATAACTGCACATATTTTAGTATATACCATAATTTGGAAAACATCTACAAAAAGGCACATTGGCCAGATCATCTACCGTTATTTCCGATTATCCGTATTTTAGAGCAAATTTGCTTTCCAAATATAGTTTTACATGGTATATTAGTTCTTTTACATACAAAAGTTACCTGCTACTATGATTATGAACATAAGCCTGGCTCTTAAAATTAAATATAAAAGTATTTGCATTTTCAACTCGATATTACAACGTATCTAATAAAAATGACTATATTATAATAAATTGTTCTCGATTATTATACAATCCATTAATTTTATTATATTTAACAAGTCATCATTTTGAAACAATCGATAATAATTTCATATATTTCTTGATATGTCTTAAAAACTGCACGAAATATTTTTCTCCACAATATATAATTTTAGGACAGGTATAAAAACAGTAACCATATTTTCTTTTCTGTATATACGTATACATATGTAAATAACACACAACACCGCACAAGCATAGCACAATGTGTCCTTGAATTCAGCAATTTATTTGACTGGCGGGCGGGTCGGATTTATGTCGGTCGAATGTACATGAGGTGACGCCGTTAAAGTAATCAATTGTTTTTAGTTTTCAACTTGTTTACTGAATTTAAATAACAAAAGAGCGCAGGTTAAATCATGAATCACGGTATCCCACGGTATCATACAACTTCAGATGTACATAAATACAGTTGTCTGTATTGTCATATGCAATGTTTGCAGACAAAGTTATTTGCCAAAAATAAAAATAAAACCGTTACTTGCGTCTAATGAAATTGTAAACCTTTACCTTCTTTTAAGCCATGAACTGCGTATAAAGAACTTTTCAAAGGCCAACTTCTTGAAAACACTACAATAATACCATTACTTTATTAGCTCACGTTTAACACAATACAAAATGCGCGTATATTCCTAAATGAAGGGAAATCAGTCGGAAAAAAACAAAAGTCAGTTAGAATACATATTTTTTCATTTGATCGTTGGAAACACCTTTTGAATAAGCTTAGAAACCTTTCCAGGTAATAATGTGTACCCCAAAATTACTAAACTAACTATAAGTAAAATAGCTACTACATGCATTTACATAAGTGGTATGCATACATATATATATACATATACCCAAATATATATATATATATATTCTAAGTATGTATATATAATCTAAATCGTATATATATTTTTCGAAATATTATATATGCGCTCATAATTTCTAAGCAAACTCTCATAGAAGTGACTACTTTCTATTATACTAAATATAATGATATATATATATGAGTATATGAAAATTTCTTATAATAATATTCAAATTATTGCTACCTTAGCAATAACAAGTCAAAACTTATTTGTTAATCTGTAGCAATTATTATCATTCCTAGCGCAATTATAATAGCCGCTCGGCAACTGAATACCAAAATTTGCATTATGCAAGTCTATAGGATACGGATTACAGGCAACTGAAAAATTATCATTTCTTATTAGTTCGATATTGCTGTTGCTTAAATTTTATGTGAAAACGTATTTTGCAAATAATATTTACTTTGTTACTATTTTCATGTTGAATTTTTATTTATTAACAGTGTCTGTTGATCTATTAATAATTATCATATATACATTAGGGTAGGTCAAAAATAGACGTATGTTCATTTTTTCGCTACATACTCAGACAAATTGGTTCAAAAGAAATTAACAGTTAAAGTTTGACTATGTAAAGTCAAATTTGTTTCTTTGCCCTTCCCGTTAAAATGTAGAGCTTATACTTAGAGAGCCTTTCTTAGAGATGTCTATCGGCCAATTTTTTAGAGTACAAAGCGAAGTTTAGATTACCCACCCTAATGTATATGTATCAGTTTATATTTAACTGTGGTTAAGCGCTGCATTCTTGTAAGTTGAGAGTGAGTAAATTTCACGACGAAAGCAAAAATGTTCAAATCTAAATTTTTAAATCAATTTCAAATCTACTGAGCAAATAAATTTCAATGAAAGCCTTTGTTTTCAATTTCTTTATATTAATTCCTGCACAAATTTGATCAATAAAATACTTTAAACAGAGATTCTCAAAAATGTTGTAACAGAGTTGTTATCTGAATTTTCAGTGTACCTGCAACAATGCAATGCAGAATTCAGCAATATCAACCGATAGCTACTAATAAGAGTGTATGAATAATACTGGTAGGATGGCATTCATAATCTAATATGAATGTTAATCTGATCAGATTTTTATTATATTTATAGTTTAAGGATTAACATTTTTCAAATAGTAGCTGATAAAAAATGGAAATTTCAATAGCGTTAAACAAATTCTCATAAGAAAGTAAAAACGGTTTTGTTCATATTAAAGTGGTATGTCTACTGGCCATATTGTCGCAGGCTTATGCATTCTATAACAAAATTCAATCCCATAGATTTCCTTATGTGGATTTAAACACTCTTTGCCACGTTTATGTTATGATATTTATACCCTGAACAGGGTGTATTAAGTTTGCCACAAAATTTTTAATGTCAAAAAGGATTCTCCCAGTTTTTGAGCTATCGGCCAGAAACTTGGCACACGTCCTTTTATCATCAATACGCTGCTCATTTGTCGGAACCGCCGATATCAGACAAACTATAGCATATAGCTGTCATACAAACTGAACGATCGAAATCAAGTGCTGGAAGATTTTTCATTTGAAAAATTTGGCATAGATTATTGTTTAACGCAATTATGCGCACTCCGAAGAAATTGTTCAGGTCGGATAACTATAACTCACAGCTGTCAAACTAACTGACCGATCACAATCAAGATAAAGATCTTTTTATATGGTACTATTGTACCTTATGATATTAAAAATGCACCTGTAAAGGTTATTATAGCTTCAGTGCAGCCAAAGTTAGTAGTTTTTCTTGTTCTAATCAAATTCATGAAAAATCACTGCAGTATTAACTGCTAGAACGTAACAATTCAGTTTTAGATCAGTACAAATACTAGTTTTTGAAACAAAACTATAAGTTTTATAATCAAAACTCCACAACACTGCCTACTTTTAGAGAAAACCAACTACGAAAATGATTACCTCAGCGAAAAGCAGTAATATGGTATTCTTTAACTATATACAAGTAAAATAAACTGACAACTACGATAAAGAAAATCTATTCCATATTTAAAAGTTGCTAGCATCAATTTTATATATATGTTTTCCTATATATCAAGCACGGTCTATATATTCCAACTCGAATTTCACCACAGTTTTATGATCAAATATAAGCATAAGTCTGAGAAGAGCAAAATTGCCAATCGCCTCAGCATTTAAAATTAGATTTGGTTGGTTGGTTGATTACAAAGAAAAAAAGTAAAGGAAAAAATTAATAATGATGTTCTTATAAGCAAAGTCACGTTACTACTATAAAATAACAACTTTTTTGCAACATTTCCGCCATCGTAGATTAATTTTATGAGTTACCGAAGAAAACATATGTAGCTGTCGGGTTCAAGACGATCTAAGTGGTTTGTAAATTCGCACTTTGCACTGGGGCACCGTCTTATTTTCACTATATTTTTTGAAAATATGTATTACATATTTATTCATATATTTATATGGTTGTGCTTTAATATACCCCTGATATTGCAAAGCAATAATTCAAACATATTGAAATTTTACTTACGCTGCGGCACAATAATTGAATATAAATAATGTTTGAAAATATTAAATACTATTGACGATAATTACTTATTTTATGTGCGCCTAAGCAAATATTATATTATAAAAGCACTAAGCGAGCGCTTTGTTATATGTATGCCGACTATTTGTGGTAGTTAATGCTTGTGCGAATATGTCATAGAAATGCGGAAAGATTATAAAGAGAAAAGAAAATGAAATTTTTTTTTGTTATTGTTACTGGTGGTGCAGTTGTGAAGAAAATAAAGTGTTATTTTGTTGCTGACTTTGTTAAACTGTTAAGTGCAAGTGGTTTCGATGAACAACATGCCGAAGCTGTGAAAACAAATTAAAGCTGTAGAAAATGCGAATAAATTTGAAATGGCTTGGTCGCTGCTTTTGTTTAACTATAATAGCAACAAAAACTAATTACGTATAATGGAAGAAAGTGAAGCATATAAGAAATGTCTAATGAGATGAATTTGCTAAAAGTTTTACGAAAAATTTTTCGGTGGAAGGAACTACAAGCACAACCAGAACATTTCTTCGTATAAATAATTTGTTGTCTGTGACGTACTGTTATCGACTTACAAATTTTTGTTAGAATAACACCACTCTCGTACTAGTTGAAAATAGTTGGCGAGTATATAATTAAATTATATGCTAGAATTGCCTTATTTTTTAAAAAGCTTAAAATTATTGATAAAGCTCAGGAAACACCTAACTGAAGATCACTTTAATAAATGTCAAAAATATCGGCCTTTTCATACTTATTCTTTGCAACTCGAAAAAAGTATAATTCACTGCAAAATATGTCATCATGCCTATACTATGTTAGTATATTGTATTATATATAAGCATTTGTGCGCAGAGAACAAGATAAGTGATGGCAAATCCCAAATCCTACCGTAAACGCGCCAACGTTTTGTTGTTTTTGCGCACGGTTGACGTTTATGCACAGTTGCAAGAGCGAGCAAGTCCTACCAGGTAGCGCTACTGTTGCTGCTGTCTACAACAGGAAGACCGCGCGTATAGGTGTTTAGTATAAATGCAACGTATAGCTGCAAAAGGACTCAGTAGAAAACACAACGGAAATTAGAACACAACTTAAATTTTAACACAGACTAACAAACTAATAGATTAACTAAACCGAACGCAGTGCTTTAGTGTAAATTCAAGCGGCAAGCTGATCACAGCACACGCACTGCGCTTAAAACAAAAAGCAAAATGGATACGAAAAAACCAAACAACATACTAAATACCAGCGATGAACTGTATATAACTGCGCAATCGAGTCCAACGCGTGATGCCAGCCCCTGCCGCTTGTCGTGGTTTCTTGTGAGAAACGATCCACTTTATGTGACTGAATATGGCACCTATCGTTTAGTACATGGCATGGACTTGATAGATCCCGACTATGCCAATGCATATACGGGTAATATTTTAAGCTATAATGTTGGTACAGCAACACTAACTGGCAGAATGTTGGCCGTCGCTGATGCGGTAAATCTTGTGCAACGTGCTCTACACGATTGGCTGAGGGAAGATCGTAAGAAATATCCAATATTTAAATCGAATATATTCGTACAATATCGACCAGCGCCAAATCGTTTGGTGCATAGAATATTACATGAGGAGGAGGCGGTGCCTATGTCGTCAACTGAAACTCCAGACGTTAGCGATATGGATATATTTGTACGCGACGGCGATAGGTTGTGTCAGGCAAAGATATTGTCACGTAATCATAACGTCGACGATTTAATAAATGATTTGACTAGGCTGACTAGCAACATATCCGAAAAAATCGCAGCCGGTTTCGCATCGGTAAGTGAAAGAAATAAAGCAGAAGTTTCGTATTTATTTAAATTTTTTTCAATTGTTTACAGATTAATCTCGATTTGGACGCTACTACCCGACCCAAAGACAATCCATGGTTGCTAATACAGTTTAGCGTTAGTATACGTGATAGCATCTATTCAATTGTACGCTATAATGATACAATCGGTTGGGAATATAACGCCTATCCAGGCTTACAAACATATCTACTTGTTGGCAAAACACTTTTCCAAGCTTTAATTATACATAAATCACACAGTCACAGAGCTGTGAAATCAGCATTAGATATCATAATGAATTCGTGTATCGTGTCGATGTACCCGCATTATAACGATCACGAGTATCGCAATGCGGATATAGAGAAGGTATGTGCTAATTTGAAGTGGGAAAGCTTTGAAGAACTGCGCGCACAAATCACTAAAGAATTAAAAAGAGCTGACGAGCCAACAATATGAAGCTTGAGTTTGTCAAGTGAAAGGAGCAAGAAGGATAGAGAGAGTGAGGCAGGTAGAGACAGAGAGGCATATAGAAAGAGAGAGAGAGAGGGAGGGAGCTAGACGGCAGTAGTAGACTTCAAAACGTCACATATTTGATATTACATATATTTTATATATATAAATATTCATGATTATTTTTTTTAATCTCTACCCCTTAACCACATTTGTACCTTAGCGCTTGAAAACACGATTCGTAATATTTTAGTTTGAACTCGCTAGTATTTGTAGCAATATTTCCACAAATATGCCAACCGCTAACGCTGATTCGGCTAACGCTGCTAATTAGGTAACTACTTTCACTTTTACCTATGCGCATTCGCATTTCTTGCATTTACATATGTACACTCGTAACTGACTTAACTAATCCTTTCCTGTTTTTTGCTAATGCTTGCTCCTCTCTGCTCTTTTATACCTTTAGTATGAGCAATCAGACACATATATAAAAGGCTGTGTACAAAGCATTGAGATCCACGAGGATGACATTATAAATTGTGAACAAGTAAATGAACTTATTACAATGGAGGCGCAGGCAATCAATAAAATTATCAATCAGATCGACCAAACCGAAAGACAGGCGGATCATATAATGTGAAAATTAAAAGCAATAAACAGAAAAAAACAACGTGAAGCAATGCAGTCGTAATTATGTAAACGTTATGTCCATTGCTTTCTTTTAAAAATTTGTATTGTGTTTCTTTATCACTACTTAAAAAGTATTATTATGTTACCTGCATTCTATTTAAATTATATTATATTACATGTTAATACACGCATATTGTACATGTTTTATCTAATTGCAATTTGAGTAAAATTTTTTTCAAAAATATTATGTTTCTATTAATACGGGTACCGTGGTAGCCGTGAGTGTTGAATGCATACATAGCAAGCAATTGTTGGGTGGTGGATTAAGCCGAAATAAAAATTGCATAAGAAAGTAAAATCTCAACTCATGCTACTCATATATTTTTCTGTGTTCACTTCTTATCTAATTCACTAATGATACCTATAAATTAGATTTTTTGAGAGACGTTTTTATTTTATTTTATTTTTCAAACCTTTACTTCCACGAGACTAATTATTTAGCGCAACAGTTTTTAGTAACAATCTACTGAAAGATTACCGCTCTTTACGAATTTCAAATAGTATGTGAAGTAAGTACTTAGATATGAATTTTGTAAGATTATAGTCAGGCCTGGTAAATTGACTCAACCAATTTCCAATTAGACGAAAACAAGCTACCAGACCCACAGAGCGACATTTCGAAGTCCGACAGAGAGAGAGCGGAGAGGTTTTGTATTTTGCCAGCTTTTTTTCGTAGAATAGATAGCTCAGAAAATTAAATATTAAGATATTATTATAACTTATTGTTCTCGAATGTCAATTCTGGTTCCATGCTGATCAGAATAGGTTGAACTTAAATCACATATGTATATCGAATACGAGATATGGCCTTAAACCATATATATTGTATATATATATATATATATAAATGATCAGCATTATGAGCTGCGTTGATTCAACTATGTCCGTTTGTCTGTCCGCCTGTCTGTATATATATGAACTACTTGTAGTCCTTCAGTTTTTGAGCTATCGATATGAAGTCTTGCACCGATCTTTTTCAGCAAAAAGCTGTTCATTTGTTGAAATGCCCGATATCGGACCACTTTGGCATATAGCTTCCAGACAAACTGAACAATCGGAATCGAGTGCTGGCACTGCAAGATTTTTCAGACGAGTTGAAGTCAAAACTTATTCAATCTGTCCACATCTTACTCAGGTCATTATATGACCAATCTAATGATTCAGTCCCAAACTTGGTAATTGCTACTCAACATTAAAAATGTCGACAACTTACAGTCGTATCGAAAATTTAAAAAAATTATATATTTTCTTGATGAAACACACTTCACTATTTGATTACCTATTTTGACTTATTTTTTATATTAATTTCTGCTTTTTCACACTTTCAAAATGTAAGATTTGAAACTGGTTTTTCATAATTTTCCATAAAAAATGTTTACCAACATAAATAACATAAAAATATTTTTAAAATCGCTCACTTGCGCACTTTTCATCTCTATTTTAGATGCTTTTCGCGTACTTACCAATTCGAAATTCATCACTATCGATCCGAAATATGATTACGGCGACAAAGGTCTGCTCTCGCCTTCCGGTCAACAGATTCGGCTTTGCGGTGGCACATATGAAACACGAAAGAATAACGAAAATTGTGAATGTCCCAAAGAGACGGCGCAAATGACTAAAACTGAGAAGAATCAAAATAAATTTCTACAACCCGGACAAGAGCAAATAAGGCAGGAGAAGCGCGCAAAAAGTCCAAAGTCTAAGCCAAGTCAAATATCATTTGTTTGCGAAAATGGACGCATCTATCGTATACTGCAGCATGGCTGTCATGAAGCAGGCGATAAAGCCAAAAGATCACCGAAATATCGTGTTGTATATCCAGGTGGAGAGAAACTGGAAGAAACGAAAAAATTACCGAAGAAAGAAAGGCAGAAAAAGTCGGAAAAGGTTAAGACGCCAGATAGGTCGCGAGAATCCTCCAAAGAACGTACGCAATTAAAACATGAATTGGAGAGGGCGCCAGTGCAAGAGACCGTAACACCACCGCCAATGACACCGCCGCGCAGATGCGCTGAGAAATCGGTGGGTACGAGTGATGCGCCCAGCGCGACCGCACAACAACAAACTGTGCTGGACATGATCAGCTGGAATCCGCTAAAGTATTTTGACATTAACTGTGCTGGCGCATCAAAGGCAAAGCAACCAGAAGTAGAGCCCTGCAAAGAAAAATCGCCATGTCCATTAAGCATATTTCCATTTCCCAGCATACGAAAGACGGAAAAGCCCGTAGAAACGCCAGCTGCAGAGGCCGAGCCGATTTATGCAGTGAAAGAGGAACCATTACCTTGCCATGAAAAAGAAATGGAACGGCAGACAGAACCACCGCCTGCACCACCAAAGGCGCCAGATATTAGCAAAGAGATTATCGCACAACAATGCAATCGCATATACAATTTGGAACTACAAGTTAATGAACTACGCCGCGAACTCGGTCACATGAAGACAGAAATTATACCGCCCGATGAAATGATGCGTTGCACAGCGCTCGCCGCAAAACTACGCGAACTCTCTACATTACTCGCAGATCTGAAGACACAGCATACGGAGGCGATAGCCGCCGTTTTGTTGGCACAAAAGCAAGCTGTAACGCCAAAGAAACTTGAGTGCACAGCCGTTACACAAACGCCACGGCCACCCACACCGCCACCGCAACGACCATGCCCAGAAATGAAAGCAGAGACAGTGCAAACCTACAATCATGCCGAAAATAAACTCTCACAAACCAATGCCACTTTCGGTTGGCGGCCTTTCATAGACGAAGCAACTCAGAGTTCACCACCATCCACTGTGCCGGTAACATCTAAAAACACTTCGAGCGTGCCGGTTAGCAGTCATGCCAGCTCGGCAGCTAGTACTGGTCTGCCCTGCCGACATGGCACCGGCGAGCTACCGTTGAAAGAGTCACCCAGCTTTTGTCCCTACTGTCAATGCAGCGAATACCCACGTTGTACTTACATCGAACGCAATCTCTATGGCGAGATCATAAGAATTCTGCAACAACACGCACCCTGCGAGGTGTTGCTGTCGGTGCTGTTACAACCGAACAATATATACCATGTAAATATTTCGTTGACCAGCAGCGGTGTGCCCTTGGGTTGTATCTACGCCACGGAACGCGCTATCAACGAGGCCGTCGAGGCAAATGTCTTTAATCGCTTTCTCACCTTCTTCATAGTGGACGCGCGCATTTCGGTGCAACAGAAGGCTAAAATTCTGGCGCATACATTTGAGTTTTTCAAAAATTAATGTTATACACACATATACTATATATAATGTTATTCATTGTGGAGGCGTTAGATTTACGGGCAAATGTGCAATCCGTTACTTGTTTAAAAATTCTGTGAAAATTGTAGTAATATACTTGTGTATATATTTCTGTATTAATCTGCGTACGTGTGTAGCGTTTCGGTGATCGATTATATATTTTCGATTTTAATAAGTTTGAAACACCGACATACTTATAAAATTTAAGGCAAACACAACAGCTTTTAGTTCCATTAAGTGGATCGTCGTCACGGCACAGTCTTTAACTGTAAACTGTTCTCCCAATGTGTCCAATAGTTTCGTATTAGCTGTGCACTTGTTTCGCAGAGTGCCTGTGAGCAATAAAAGATGACCAATGCAAAAGCTTTTCCAATAGCAGCTTCATTTGGAAGCCGCAATGCTGAGTAATTGCACTCATTTTTAGTGTGTTGTGAGTACGCAAACGTCAGTGGTACCGTAAGAGATATTGATCTTTGACTAAGCGTCGTTAAAGCAGTGTGCTGAGCGATGAATGATGGTTGGGCCACGCTGGTAATGCTGCAAATGAATGTAAGTAATTATGATTGTTTTTCGATATAAATAATGTTTTTTATATTTATTATATCATCTTGTCAACAACCCTATAGACATATGTATGCGTAAATGGCGACGAAAGAACCGAGATAAAAGAACCAGTCCATGACTTTGTTGATTTGGACTTCAAAATAATTTATAAGCTTAATTGTGATTTCTTTAATGTACTTTTCCTAACATTTTAAAAAGAACTGCGGTGTAGAACTCTATTATTAAAGATCATTTCAAAAATAAGGGCTTGTTGAAAAAAAAATTTTAATTTTTCTTCAAATAATCTAGCACTAAGCAGCAATTTGGTAATAAAATTGCAAAACTTAAAGCTTTTAGATACAAACAAAAACTGATAAATATAATATATCAATTCCAACAAGCTCTAACTCCAGCTTATTCCAACCAATTCTACAAACATAGCAGACGAATGCGTTTCGAAGAAATGCCGAAAGTATATAATCAAAAGGTAGGACGAACTCTTATCTTATACATATTTCACACTTAATCCCGGGCTTATTAGTTAGTTACTTACGAAAAATCACTGCATTGCTATGATTTATGCATTCCAACAACAACTATTCACCGTGTGTGCCTTAATCTGCTAGCGGCGCTCTACATTCGCTGCCACTCCTCTCTCCGCAGACATTTTACTACATCTCTTTACACTAATCTCTTCACCATTTTACTGCTCCTCTTTCCATTTTCATTTCCATTTCCATAGAGCTACACATCATATTTTTCGCTAACTTACTGCCATCTATCATTTTCGCCGCTTTCGCATGTAATGAACACCCTGTAGGGAAATGGTGGTTCAACTGCGCTAAGAATTTTTACTTACACATAGGAGTATTTAGCGCGGGTTAGTGTGTGACGAAAGCGAGAATAATTGTAATAACGCTCTTGCCGTTTTACTGCGGTAGCTTCTCCCAAAAGCGAGTTAGAAATTTTTTAAAGATATTTTTATATTCTAGCTACTAGTTCCAAACATGATAGATTAATGCCAAATTATTCTTACTGGGTACAATAACTGCGTATGTATGGCCGTCCAAATGCCACATACAATTGATGGAGTGTCAGTTCCGATCGATGGGTTCGTTTTATTGCTGAAAAAGTGCCTACCTAAGCGTACACTTATCACGCAGTGGTCACAACTGGCCGAACATTTCGGGTTTTCCCGCTTATACATGGGTTTTCCTGGCCAACTGTTCGCACATATACATATATACACAATTGTCTTGCGTTGTCTTGTTTTGCTATTAAGGCTGAGACAGCAAATTTGCTATTGACAAATGGCCTTGTAAATAATAGTTCAACTGCTGCACTGCACTTAATCCCTGGTCGGTTACCTACTTAGTTTAGTTGTCATACATATGTACATACATACATACATACTTTGGAAATATGAGACATATCTGCAGAGCATTTGGACATTTCGTAAGTTCTTTTCCCAGTTTGCTGAAATTTTGGAGCTATGTAGTAGAACCCTATTAGTCTCACTAGTCGAATATTCTTAGGAAACGGCTATTTCAAAGAGCCTGAGGATACTGAAAGGCACACTCAATTGTTGTTTCTGTTTGATGGCTATTCGTATTCATATTCTTAAAGAAAATGTAAAAAATTGGAAGTAAGTTACTTGCTTGCTTTCACTGACTTTCTTGCTCTCTTTAAAAGTACACTAGCGTCTAATATTATCAGTTAAATAAAGCAAAAGTGCAAAGGGTCAGAACACCAATAGTAAGAGTACATAATATACGATTAAATTGGCGCAAGAGCTCTAAAGAGAAATGTCGAAATGTTACCTTCTATTTTTCGAAATTACTTGGCAACTAAGTAGTTGCGGATTTTTGTTTTTTTTTTAAATCAAAGACAATTTTTTCATGGAACTAAATAACTTTATGTATTGCCCATTTTAAGCAATGACCTTTTGCCATCTTTCAAGCAGCATCATAATCCCACGTTCGTAAAACTTTTATTTTTTATTAGCAAAAAACTGAATCAGGTACGATTTGACATCATATTCCTTATGTATTATATATAAATATCCAAACAGACACACCTGCATTCACATAAGTACTCAGCAATATCAATATAGTTGTTGGCAGACCACTTAACAACTGGACGATAAAAATTGGTAAATCAGTAATAAATTATAAAAATTTGATTAAAACTCATTGCGATAAAAATATTTCAAGTCATCACTGTATAATCACTACCAAATTTCTTTTATAAATATTTCATATTAATCAAAATTGAATTTTTTTAGAGAACAAAACATGTATGATGACACACCATAATTTTCCATTCTTATTAGCACAAAATTTTTCATATGTGAGTTAGAGAGAAATTTAATTTTTCATAATATTTTTATTTTTATAAATACAATCGTTTAAAGCCAATCTTGTTTTCTTGCGCTCATCTACTCTGAGAATATTTAAGTTGAGTACATAGCGTAGTACGAAACAAGTAAATTCGAGAAAGCAATGTTATGTGCTCAAACAGCTGTTTTTGTGAGTTGAATAACAAGGGTTTGCTATTCTAACAAATCCAATAAGACTCTTTCATGCATCGACAGGTCTTTTGCTGGTCAAATACTCCATTTGGAAGGCATAACAAAACAGGTTACACTGGACATGGTTTTAAGAATGAAATCAGCTGTTTTGTTTCGTAAGATTTTTTATACATATATTAATAACTTCAAATTTTTTGATCACTTACTGTTATTTGCTGGTGTTCAAATCAAATTTTTGTGAAAATAGTTCGAAAACACTGCCAATATTTTTTTACTCTATTGGACATTCGTCTCTGTCTGGAGCGAATATGAAATAGCGTTATTACTTTGTATTCGACAAACGTGCATCGGTTTTTGAAGGAATTTTTTGCTTAAAATGCTTGCTTTATGGGAGGATACTATATACTTGGATTTTGGCTGTGCAAGAAAAACGCTCAATTTTTGCAATGCTATACAGAATTTTTTATTTTTCTGAAGCCAAGATATCTATTATGGATTTATTTTCTTTTCTCATTAGCATAAGTTAGTAAGTCCCATATATCAGCACGTACTACACCTAATTGAGCCAAATTTGGTACATAACATTTTCTTGCCAACCTATACATACTTGTATAACTGTTTGGAAATGATATCTCCATTTAGGACTTCAACCTCGTCTTCTTCTCATATGACATGATTTTAAACTACACTGCACTCTTTCCCTAACCAAATGATAAATCAAACATCATTGCATATATGGAAATAAAATGTTGCATAATTCGAAATTTTAAGGTGTGGCACTTCTCATTTAAAAGTGGTCGGATTGAGATTCTTCTCAACTATCAAAATACTGTGTTGGACAACCATCATGCCTATGAATGGTTTTATACCGAAAATATCAATCGATTTGTGAGATATAAGAATGAAATGAAGAGAAAATTTTCTCCAGCTAATAATGTTGTATGTGTTTAATTGGTTTGTAAGACCAAGCGATGACGAGCTATACAATATTGTCTTACCTATGATGGGAGGCTACAATTGATAGAAACCGTCATCAAGTGCGAAATATTTCATACGTTATGCCTCCATCGTTGGAGACTTTAATTTCTACATCGTCATTTGGCGCTTCATCAAGGGAATCAGGATCCAGTGTTGCGTCTATGACAACATAACCAACCTCCCTAATTTCTCTAAAGTATAGATATGTATGTTTTGAAATATGGATCACATCGGTAGCATATACCTCATTAATACATAATTTATAATGATTTTTGCTGCTAATAAGCTGTTTTATGATATTGGGTATACATAGGTTAGTATATGAGATATTTTAGTGGCATAAGCGAACCTATTATTTTTAGATACTGTATATATAGACGCTCCTTGCTTATTTTAAATAATATACTCGAATTTCAATGAAATTTTATTTTCAACCAATTCTCGAACATTTCGAAGCCTGCTCGCCAAACATACTGGTCCAAATTTACTTATAGATACACTATATAATCACACTCAAATATAGCTATAAATTGAGTTTAAGAATAATATTGAATATGCAAATCTGCTGTTATATGCATAAAATTTCCAATTCAAGCAAAAACACGCAAACACATACAATCTGAACAGTTCAATATTCATATGTGATTTGGCCAATTTACTATTTTGACTAGTTTTGCGCCATAAACATGGGTTCATTAGCAATTCCAACGAAATTCTGCACATGCTCGTGCCCAACTGACTAGCCTGGTTAACTGGCTAACAATACATATGTACAAATGTACTTGGCTACTTTTCTACTTATTTTCCAGCATTGAGCGGCGTTTTACAGCAGCACGCACACAAACACACGCAATCACACATAAATGCTTGAATGTAATGCACACATCATTTTAAGAGCCTCCAACTGACAATCGTTGATGCAAATCTTGTAGCGTTGTTGTTGTTGCTGATGCGCTTTGGTTGCCATCAACGAAATGCAAAATCATCAAAATTAGCGAATCACTGCAAAATGCAATAGAAAAAGCCGACATGAAATGCAAACGGCTCGACTTCGGTCAGCGCACATTAG